CCCAGCCCCACCCACCTCTCAGCCAAGCCGCCACCTTCCCGGGGGTCCAGGTCTCCACCGGCTCCATGCCCGGCTCCGCCCGCCGCGGTCCGCCCGGCCCGCCCGCGCAGGAATTTCCGCTCCCGAAGCCCGGGTTGGGCGGGCCGGGCGGGCGGGGCGGGGCGGGGCGGGGCCGCGCATACCTGGGCCCACGTGGCCGCCCAGGTGAGGCACTGCACAGCCTCCGGCCCCGCCCCGCGGGCATCGGGACGGCTGGGTCAGGTGGGGCGGCCCCAGAGCACTGTGACCCTGGTAACCTCAGATCTGGGCTGAGATTTCCAGACACCTGTAATCCTAGCTACTCAGGCGGCTGAGAGCTGAGGACCGTGGTCCGAAGCTAGCCTGGGCAGGACAGCCCTTGAGAAGCTTATCTCCAATCCATCAGGGAGGGAAAAAAAGCCATTAATGGACCTGTGGCTCAAGTGGTAGAGTTTGGAAAAGGCTGAGGGACAGCACCCTGAGCTCAAGCCCGGTCAGTACCCATCTCTCCAACTGGCCTCTGGCCTCAAATCTCTGAGCTGGGCCTTGACTCAAGTTCCAGATCTGCAAAAGCGATACTAGTCCCTGCTTCAGAGCGCGGTTTGCAGAGTACCTGAGCAAGTAACTTAAAAACGTTTGGAACTGGTTTTTTAAGCCTCTTTTAATTTGAATCTTTTGGCAGTCTAGTGAGGTTTATGAATACTTTCTCAGAATAAAGCTTTTATTTAGAACTGCTGGTGGCTCATGCCTGTATTCAAGAGGCTTAGATCTGAGAATTGTGGTTCAGAGCCAGCCCAGGCAGAAAAGTCTGACTCCCCTCCCACCCCTCAGTCCTGGGCCTGGGCACTGTCCCTGAGCTTCTTTTGCTCAAGTCTAGCACTCTACCACTTAAGCCGTAGCATCACTTCCAGCATTTTCTATTTATGTGGCACTGAGAAATCCAACCTAGGGCTTCATGCATACTAGGCAAGCACTGTACCACTAAGCCACATTTCTAGCCCTGTGAGACTCTTATTTCCAGTTAACCACCAGAATACCAGAAGTAGTGCTGTAGTTCAAAGCGATAATGTTCCAGCCTTGAGCAAAAGAGCTCAGGGACAGTGCTCAGGTCCTGAGTTCAAGCCCCATGGCTGAAAAAAAAAGTCTTCTATTTATTTTATTTTTTTTGGGTCCGGTCGTGGGGCCTGAACTCTGGGCCTGAGCGCTGTCCCTCAGCTCTTCAGCTCAAGGCTAGCACTCTACCACTTGAGCCACAGTGCCACTTCCGGCTTTTTTCTTATGTGGTGCTGAGGAATTGAACCCAGGGCCTTGAGCATGCAAGGCAAGTGCTCTACCACTAAGCCACCTTCCCAGCCCCTTCTATTTATTTTTTTAAGACTGGGTCTCAGTATGATGCTCATAAGTCAATCTTGCATGGCTGCCTCAGCATCACATAGTTACATGCTACACAGCCAGAGAAAATAGTACACACATAAAAAGCTTGAAGCCAGTGGTTCATGCCTGTAATCCTAGCTACTCAGGAGACAAGAATTGAGGATCGACGTTCAAAGCTACTCTGGGTAGAAAAGTCTCTATGAGATTCTTATTTCTAATTAACCAGCAAAAACAAACAAACAAACAAAAAACAAAAACGGAAGTGAAGGGGTGGCTCAAGTGGAAGATCATTATCCTTAAGTGAAAAAAGCCAAAGAAGAGGCCCTGACATCATGCCCCAGTACTAGCACAATAAATAAATAAATAGTAAATAAAAAGCAGCAAAAGAAAGGAAGAAAAGAAAAGCCAGGCATGGAGGCAATATACCATAAAACCAGTACTTAGGACACTGAGAGAGAAGGATTCTGTTTTCTAGGCCAGCCTGAGCTACATATTGACCCTTTGCCTCAATAATAAAGCATAAGCCAGGGCTGGGAATGTGGCTTAGTGGAGTACTTGCCTAGCATGCATGAAGCCCTAAGTTTGATTCTTCAGTACCACATAAACAGAAAGAGCTGGAAGGGGCATTGTGGCTCAAGTGGTAGAGTGCTAGCCTTGAGCAAAAGAGGCTCAGGAACAGTGCCCAGGCCCTGAGTTCAAGCCCCAGGACTGGCACACAAAACAAAACAACAAAAAAAAGTTTTATGAACATAAAGTTCTACGTATTTGTCATAATTATTTCCAAAATGATGAACAAATGCAGCAGTGGTACTCATTAGACACTATGTTGAAAATGAACTATATAACTTATGGGTAGGGATAGTAGGAAAAAAACAGAGTGAAGGAAGGGTGATATTGTCCAAAAAGATATGTACTCATTACCTGGCTTATGAAACTATAACCCCTCTGTATGTCTCCTTTATAAAAACAATCAAAAATAAAAATAAAAAATATATCAAAATTTTTTTTTCTGCCTTTCATGAGGCTAGAACTCAGGGCCTAGGCATTGTCCCAGAGTTTTTGTGTTCAAGGCTAGTGCCCTACCACTTTGAGCCATAGCTCCATTTTCTTAGTAGTTCATTGGTATTAGTAGTCCCACAAACTTTCCTGCCCAGTCTAGCTTTAACCAGAGATCCTCAGAGTTCAGCCTCCTGAGTAGCTAGGATTACAGATATGAGAAATAAGATAAAAACATACCATTTCCCCACTATCCTATTTTCCAGTGAGGGCCACTGCCAAATTTTCTAGGTATACTTTCTTCCTGTCTTTTTCCTCTTTCATTCTTTCCCTCCCTCCCTCCCTCCCTTCCTTCTTCCTTCTTCCCTCCCTCCTTCCTTCCTTCCTTCCTTTTTTTCTTTCTTTCCTTTCCTTTTCTTTTTTGGGGGTCCGGTCGTGGTGCCTAAACTCTGGGCCTGGGCGCTGTCCCTCAGCTCTTCAGCTCAAGGCTAGCGCTCTACCACTTGAGCCACAGCACCACTTCTGGCTTTTTTTCTTTTTGCTTATGTGGTGCTGAGGAATCGAACCCAGGGCCTCATGCATGCAAGGCAAGCACTCTACCACTGAGCCACCTTCCCAGCCCCATCTTTCTTTCTCTCTCTCTCTCTCTCTTTCTTTCTTTCTTGTATATGCAGGTTATCACTGAAGCTTAAAATTAGAACCTCACACTTTACACTCTCAATTCATTTTTTTCACTCTGTTGTTCTACCACTTGAGCCATACCTCCAGTCTTGCATTTTGCTATTTAATTGGAGATCTCACAGACTTTTTCTGCTTGGGCTGGTTTTGTACCTGTATACTTACATCTCAGCCTCCTGAATAGCTAGGATTGCAGGTGTGAGCTACCAGCACCTAATTCTCATTCTTTATATCAGCAGATATTCTACAAATATACTTTCCAAGAACTATTTTATTTGTCACAATGATAAAAAAAATAAAAAGTGTCTCAGCAATGCAAAATTTACTTCTGCAGAAGGGTGCACCATCAGCCAAAAACTTAGCAAGCAAGCACACAGAGCAGGCAGGTTGCTCCCTATTTATCCCAAACAATAGGATCTACTACCCTTTGTGAGAAAGGGCTCAGGAGGCTGGAGCGTCACGTAGGAATAAGGACACCAATTTGAAAGGAATTCAACAAGGTAAAATTTACTTCTACAGAAGGCCATCAACCAAAAATCTGGCAAACAAACACATGGAGCAAATGGGCTGCTCCCTTTTTATCCCTAACACAGCAGGCTTTTCTCCTCTGCTCCTCTGCTCCAGTTGGTTGAGCTCAGGTTCATATCTGCTTGTGGCTAGCTAATTTGAAGTGGGCAGGAGTGCATTTACATAAGTTGAACACTAAAACACTATGAAATAAGATTAGTAGTACATAAGCAATCTCCAAACATACCCCCACTCTCAGCTATATCTTGAGCAATCTGAGATGTGTTTTCAGAGGCCTGTCAATTCCATCTTGGAACAACCAGTTAAGACAAAACCTTACGTTACAAAAACCCTAGCAGTTCCTCTTTTCCTTTTGGTGCTCCCAGATTTTGGCAGAATAAGCAACAAGAGCCAAGCCAGTAGGCCAAACCAGGAACTTTTAAGCAACCCACTTTGATAGAAAAGATGGTTTTTCGAGGCATGGGTGATATACACCTGTAATCCTTGCTAATCTGGAGTCTGAGGTCTGAGGATCTCAGTTCAATGCCAGCCTTAGCAGAAAAGTCCATGAGACTCTTCTCTTTAATTAACCACCAGAAAACTGGAAGTGGTTCTGCAACTCAAAGTGGTAGAGGGGCTAACCTTGAATGAAAAAGCTCAGGGATAGTACCAAAGCCCCGATAACAAAAGAAATAGCTTTTCTCATATAGATAGTAGATAGATAGATAGATAGATAGATAGATAGATAGATAGATAATAAGTCCATACCAAATAATACATGGGAATTTGCCTAGACCGATCAGCAGCTTTTTGTTATATTTTATTATTTACTATATCAGCTTAATCAGTATATGTAGATCTGCTTTTACATTCCCCAAGTGTGTCCTCCCTCAAGGTAGAGGTGATTATCTTACACAAACCCAGTAAAGAAGGTGCATAGCAATTGAAGAGGGTGATAAAGCACCTGCCCCTCCTTTGTCTAATGCTGATTTCGTGGCATCCAATCATCTGAGGTAGGAGTAGGGCTTGGGTTAGGGCTGAGGAAAGCCTGTCCAGTACCTAGTCCATGCCTGAGACTCCTAAGCACTACCAATCAAGGCCTTTTCTACCTATGCAGCCTGGCCTGGCCTGCCTGGTGGATGGGGGAGGTGCTGCTCAGACCTGATGTTGATCTCTTCTGACAGCTGCTCCTAGGGCTGGCTGGATGGCAAGCAGTGGGGGAAGGGACCAGATTTAAGGATCTGGTTGCCCCGCCCCCTGCCAGACCTAGGCAGGCCAGGGCCAGTGAGCATCCTTTGAGGTCCTGGCTCTCAGGAGGGGGTCAGAGACCTCTGTAACCTGATTTCTATTTCATGGTGCCATGGACAGTTAGTATTTATGTCTGATCCCACCCCACAGGCTGCCTGAGAAAACCAGTGCCCCTCAACATGCGATTTCGACGCCTGACCCCTGGCTACTTCCGGGTACTACAGGTAAGTACCCCTAACTGGTGGCTCTGGTAACACTGACCTCCTCTTTCCCCACCATGGCTGAGTTGATACCCCTAACAGCTAGGCTGTCACGTTCCCTGCCGCCTGACTAGCCAGGGCCCAGATGGGCAGTGAAGCGGGAAAGATTGGGGTGGAATCTCCCTGGGGCAGCAATGGAGTTAACATCTTCTTGCAGCTGCACCTTCTTAGCTCCTTCCTGCCTAGAAATCTCAGGTGTACCCTGTGTACCCCCAGATGCAGGTGGCCGGGCAGCTGAAGGTAGAGCCCCGGAGTCGGCTGATTGGGGTTGTAGCTACACTGCTGGCTGTCCTTGGGCTAGGTGGCTCCTGCTACGCTGTATGGAAGATGGTAGGACAGCGGCAGCCGCCACAAGCGCCATGATGAGGCACATAGCCTCTAACTTGGGCTCTGGAGGTAAGTATTTCAAAGTAGGGGAAATGCAATCTCAGAAACTCAGGTGTGTGTGTTGTGTATTGGTCCTGAGGTGTGAACTCGGGGCCTGGGTGCTGCTCCTGAGCTTTTATGTTCAAGGCAAGCACTCTATCCCTTGAGCCACAGTTCCACTTCTGGCTTTTTGGTGGTTAAAGAATCTTAGGGCTGGGAAGGTGGCTCAGTGGTAGAGTGCTTGCCTTGCATGCATGAGGCCCTGGGTTTGATTCCTCAGCACCACATAAGCAGAAAAAGCTGGAAGTGGCACAGTGGCTTAAGTGGCAGAGCACTACCCTTGAGCTGAAGAGCTGAGGGACAGTGCCCAGGCCCAGAGTTCAGGCCCCACAACCGACAAAAAAAAAAAAAAGAGAGAGAGAGATGAGAATCCTATAGGTTTTCCTGCCTAGGCTGGCTTCAAACTATGATCTCAGCCTCCTTATTAGCTAGGATTACAGGTGTGAACCACCAGCACCTGGCAGAAACCCATTTCTTTTCTGAGGATCAGTCCCTGTCTCCATTGAAAGGAGAATAGAATGAAATTGATCTCACTCCTCCACCTTACCTTTCACCTGAGCTTCAACTCAAGATGCTAAGATCCAGGGATGCTAATTCCAAGGCTGACAAAGGGGTCCTATGCAAAGCAAGTAGCACCGAAACTTTTGCAGAGCTGAGGTTTGGGGCACTGGCTGAAGTTAAGAGTCAGAGCCAGATGCCGGTGGCTCACACCTGTAATCCTAGCTACCAGGAGGCTGAGATCTGAGAATCACAGTTCAAAGCCAGCTCTGGCAGGAAAAGTCCATGAAACTCTTATCTCTAACCACCAGAAAACCGGAAGTGGCACTGTGGCTCAAGTAGTAGAGCGCTTGCCTTGAGTCCAGGCCCAGAGTTCAAGTCCCACGACCGACCCCCCCCCCCCCCAAAAAAAAGTCAGAGGCAAGTCGTATTTGTCCAGTTCCTTTATTGAAGGAAAGGCATCAGAAAAAGCCATCTAAACCTCAAACCCAGAGCCCAAAAAGGTTGGCACACTCTCTCCCAGTCTAGCCATTGTAGCATAGTCCGTGGGCAGCTCCTCTGCCCTTCATCTTCAGATAGACGTGTCCATCTCAGGAACCTCAGTGGACACTTCTGTGGGCACTGCCAACCGCTGGGGGGGCACATAGGACCCCATACCTGCTGCCCTCTCTGCCTCTTCCTGACTGTAGGGTTCGATGGTCAACTGCTTCAACCTGGGAGAAAGAATAGGAGTTGGGAGTTGACCTGATGCAAGCCGTGCCTGCCCTGGCCCCATCCCACCATCCCTCTGCTTATTTACTTCATACCTTTTTTTGTGGCCTTTGGATCGTAAATGGGTCTTAAGGTTGGCGGAATCGATGAAGTACCTCCTGCGGGGATAGGAGTGAGAAGGGTGAGGAGGTGATGCCTTTCGGGTACGCCTACCTCTGCGATCCTGGCTCGTTCCCCGACGCCTGGCCCCTGGCTTGAAGGGATGACACGAGGGCTGTGCCCCGCGTTTCTAGGGAAGAGACGGCAAAGCCCACGGCCCGGGCCTCCTCCGCCCGGGGCTGGACTCACGCGCAGGCCAGACAGCGGTGCAGGCCGCCCCCGGGCAGGTCGGGGTCGGGCTCCGAGTCTGGGTTCGGCTTGGGTCGCGCGGCCTCCTGTGGCCGCAGCTCGCGGTGAATCTCATCCAGGTCCGGCCGCCGCCGCTTAGCCTTCATCTGGCGGGCTAAGGAGTGCGCTCGGTGCGCACCGCAGCGGCGAGAGCGGGCCATGCCGGTGACAGCAGAGCTCGAGGGTCCCACGCGTAACGGCGCTTCCGGACCGCCCAATGACGTCAAGGGACGCCCGGAGGCGGGACGCTCCGCCAGACCGTCTCTGATGACGTCACCACCACGCCGACATCTCGAGCGCCCCAAGCGGCCGTGGGTGGTAGTGATAGGCTCGGGGCGGGGCCGGACCAAGACCGTTCACCTAGGCCCCAGGTCGTCGGGGAAGGGGTGGGGGGCGGGGGAAGGGTGCCCAGGGACTTCGGGGCGGGTCATGTTGTTCGGCATTGCCCAATCGTCCCCTCCCGGTTCCCACACCTTAGAATCATCTCTGGAAGGCACTGATAATGTTTGTGACATGAATAAATTAATACATGAATGACTATAAGTTTGGCATCCCAGCTTCAACTAGAAATCCCTGACACAAAGCTTCTCAAAATTCTCCAGTTATCCTCCTGGGTTTGCTCCCCTCTCCCAACCAAATGCATGCCTGGGGTGGGAGCGGGAAGGGGGGGAAGAGGGAAAGGGAGAGAGGTGGGATTGTTTTCAAAGATCCTAATACTCAACCAGTGAAAACTGAAGTAGTAGAGGTCAACCGGATACCAGATAGCTCATGTCTCTAATCCTACTTAGGAGGCTGAAATCTGAGGATTGTGGTTCGACGCTAGTACAGGCAGGAAAGTCTGTGAGACTCTTATCTCCAGTTAATCACCAGAAAACCAGATGTGGGTGCTGGGACTCAAAGTGCTAGAGCACTAGCTTTGAACTGAAAAAGCTCGAGAAGAGCACCCAGCCCTCAATTCAAGTCCGATCACAGACAAAAAAATAAAAGAAGTAACAGAGGTGCTGTAGCAGAGGTACTCATAGAAAGACCATTGTGGGCTCCGGGTAGGGTAGGTCTCTCCTCATTGACCAGGCCTGGTGCCTTCCAGGCTATCCAGAGATAACTCCACTGGACAGGATCAAGGAAGCTCAGCAATAATTCAGGGGGTCCAGATCTTTGGAACCTGTTGCCAGGAAACAAGGAGACAGGCACGTGTATCCCAAGGGACACCAGTAAGTTTCCAGGCCAGACAAAGGGGTGAAATGTAAGCTCAGGGGGGGCCCCAGGACCTTCCCACTCCAGTTCACAGAGTCTGCATTCAGGATACAAGGCCGGGCTGAGTTGCAGGCATAGCTGGTATGGTTACAGTCACAGGAGGCTCCAGTGGGAGTCTTAGACCCAAGGGTTTTTACAAATGGAAGAGGCCTTTTCTAGAACATTTTAAGAGATAGACAATCTTAAGTATTTTGCCTCAACATAGAGATTTCTTCATTTTTCTTGGCCAATATGGGTCAAGACAACGGTGGAGGTGGCAGAAAATTGCCCCTACCTCAGACGCCTTTGGATCAGGTTCACCTTCTGGGCTCTGTGCCAGCTAGAGAGGTTATTGCATCTTTAATGAAGTCAGTCACCCAATCCCTGGGACAGGCTCTTGGCTCTACCAAGTTCCTGAAGACAGATCCACTAGATCCTCACTGAACCACAGAAGGGAAGGCCTGGGTACCAGGCTCCTTTCCCCTGAAGCCATGAACCAGGCCTTCTGGAAAACCTACAAATCCAAAGTGCTACAGACCCTGAGCGGGGAATCTGAGGAAGAGCTGGCAGAAGAGGTGGGTACCCTCCATGCTTCCTGGGTGTGCCAAAGAAGAGGGACAGCATGAGTGAGAGGAACAAAAAGAGATGGAGGATGGACACAAGCCTGAGGCACATTCAGGAAAGGCAGTCAGCATGGCTCAGTGTTGGGGATCCAAAAAATTCTAGAAAACTGAAGAACAGAAGACGTGGGGCCATGGGAGATGTACGTACTGTCTCCATAATCTCAAGAACTGCCTCATGGAGAAGATTCTTCTGGGAGCAGTGGGCAGTAGTCAAATGGGCAGATTTAGTATAACAGAGCTTTCTAAAGGGCAGAGCTGAGCATGTCTTGTCTGGAGATGTACTGAGCCCCCATTTCCTAAAAGAAATGAGAAATGACATTTATACTTTGTAGGTTACTGGAGCAGCCTCTGTTTTATTATGGTGTGTGTGTGTGTGTGTGTGTGTGTGTGTGTGTGTGTGTGTGTGTGTGTGTTTCCTGGGGCTTGAACTTGGCTTAGGTGCTGACTGTGAGCTTTATTGCTCAAGGCTGGCATTATTACTTGAGCCACAGTTCCATTCATGGCTTTTTTTTTTTTTTTGTGGTGGTTAACCCTGATCCTCAGAAGTTAGCCTCCTGAGTAACTAGGATTACAGGCATGAGTCTTGCTTAGAAAAAAATTTATAAAGCAGCCAGGCACTTGTGGCTCATGCCTGTAATCCTAGCTATTCAAGCTGGGACCTGAGGATCACGGGTTCAAAGCAACCCTGGGCAGAAAAAGTCCATGAGACTTATCTTCAGTTAACCACAAAAATGCCTCAAGTAGAGCTGTGGCTTAAGTGGTGTAGTGCCAACCTTGAGCAAAAGAGCTCAGAGACAGTGCCCAGGCCCTGAATTCAAGCCCTGTGTCCACACACACACACACACACACACACACACACATACATCATTACATCCTTGAGACTGGGAACCATTTTATGTTCAGAGACTGAGATATAAGTGTCAGTCACACAAATAGATGTGACAGGGGCAGGGAGGGGGGGAGCATAGATGGGTAGCAATGAGTTGGGGAGCAAAGCTGGGCTTATCTGAAATATTCTTATGTGAGAACATGCTGGGATTGAGTTCTGTGCAAATCCCCTGTGAAGGCATACATGAAGCTGTGAACTGGACCTAGATGTTACCCAGTGTGAGTCTATGTTTCTATGCTTGCATGCCTGAGTACAGGCATCTGCAGGTATTGTGTTGGTGTGGTGTGTGGGTGTCTGTGGCTATGTGAGAGGTTTTGTATCTGATGGGTGAGGTTGTATACCTGCACAAATGTGAATGGTCTAACTGCCTGAGTTGAGTGTCGTGGTACTTTGTAGCATATCTATATACCATATAGAAGTATGCTCAGGTATAGGTGTGTGTGTGTGTGTGTGTGTGTATGCATGCTCTTGTCCCTTTCTCTCTGTCTCTCTCTGTGTCTCTCTCTGTGTCTCTGTCTCTGTCTCTCTGTCTCTGTCTCTGTCTCTCTCTCTTTTTGGTCAGTCATGGAGCTTGAACTCTGGGCCTGGGCACTGTCCCTCAGCTCTTCAGCTCATGGCAAGCACTCTACCACTTGAGCCACAGCTCTACTTCTGGTTTTGTGGTGGTTAATTGGAGATAAGAGTGTCACGGATTTTCCTGCCCAGGCTGGCTTTGGACTGTGATCCTCAGATCTCAGCCTCCTGAGTAGCAAGGATTATAGGCATGAGCCACTGGTGCCGGACCTTGTCTATGTGTTTTAAGTATGAAAGTGGGCAGGTTTGTGTGCTCAGGGATGTCTGCAGAGATTTATTATATAAGTGTACGTGTGTCCAGTGTATACCTATACATATTCTCATGTTGCCTTGTGGAGGTGTAAAGTGTAGGTGTGTGTGTTTAGTTCTGTGGGGTTTGGGGCACCTTGGCTATGTGTACCAGGCGAACAGCAGAGGAGGGAGGTCCCACTTCTCTGGGGCTTCTCTCATGTTGGGTGGGGTCTTGTGTCTCAGAGGGAGAACCCTGCGTTAGTGGAGTCTGAGACTGCAGAACCCACTGAGGAGGCCTTCAACCCCATGTCACAGCTGGCACGCAGGGTGAGTTCTTATTCCTTTGTCCACCCCAACCCCAGGGAGCCTAACAGCTGACATGGAGCCCCCACGAGGCTATGCTGGGGTCTCCCCTAACTCCCAGTTCCTCCCTCCTAGGTTCAGGGAGTTGGGGTTAAAGGTTGGCTGACAATGTCATCTCTGTTTAACAAAGAAGATGAGGACAAGCTGCTACCACCAGAGCCTTGTGCTGACCAGTATGTGGGGGAGTGGTAGGGGGGAGGGTGTTAGGGAGTAGTGCTGGTAGGGACTTGGGATCCCTTTTCTGACATGTTGGTTCCTTCTGGTCTGTTCTTTGGTCTTTCTAACCCAGGTTAGAAAGATGAAGCAGGCCTACCTAGGAGATTAGATTAGATCTTGGAGAAAATTACCTGCTATGTTAGTATTATGGAGCTGTACCTCCCATTAGTCTCTGTTTTTGGTCAGTGGGTCTCCCATATTGTCTACCCTCATCTCCCAAGGTAGCTTGTGATTAATACAAATCCTTGAGGGCAACCATCTGCTTCAATTGGATCTGGCAGAGGCATCTGGGGGTCCCAGAGGACCAGAAGGTACACCGGTTTGGGAACCACTGTTTTAGCCCAGAGCTAAAGGATCAGACACAAGGACTCAGTTTACCTCCTTGCTCTCTCTGGCACACAGTCCATCTCTGCTCATTCCTCCAGCCTAGACACTCACAAGGCCACCCCCATCCATCTCTCCTCTCCCAACAAACCCCACCTCTTCCCAGTCCAAGCCCTCTAGACTTTTCCAGATTCTAGGTTCCTGCTTCAAGCCTTATCGCCTGTCCACATTAAGTCCTCCTCTTACCTAAATTTAAAATGTAGAATGTCCTCAACCTATGTCCCTTAATCCTCCTTTCCTCCAAAACTAGATCCTGACTTCCTCCCTTGCCTCCCCAGAAATCTAAACAAATCCCCACTTTAAGCCCTGTGTGTTCCTACTCCTCTAGCCCCGCCCCCACACAGACCACGCCCCTTCCATCCCCGCCCCCAGGATCCCTCCCAGCTCCCCAGAGTTGGCTGCCGCCGCCGCCTCCTCCTCCTCCTCCGCCTCCGCCTCCTCCTCCTCCTCCTCCTCCTCCTCCTCCTCCTCCTCCTCCTCCTCCTCCTCCTTTTTTTTTTTTAGTCGGTTGTGGGGCTTGAACTCTGGGCCTGGGTGCTGTCCCTCAGCTCTTCAGCTCAAGGCTAGCGCTCAACCACTTGAGCCAAAGCGCCACATCCGGCTTTTTTTCTGCTTATGCCCCACATAAGCAGAGGCAAGCAGTCTACCACTGAGCCAGCTTCCCAGCCCCAATCCTCCTGCTTCTTGCTTTCCTGCCAGCGACCCTCCTCAAGACCTCTGACGACCCTGTCCCCCAGGATGCTGCTCTGCTTTCCCAGACCTGCCACCCAATCCCCACCCCAACCTCTTTCCCAGAGCCTCTGACACCTTCTCAGGCCTGCAGGCTCTGACCTCTGACTCATCCTGCCCCATTGCAAGTCCCCAATTTCCGCCTCTCGTCCATTGTCTCCTGCCTCACCCCTGCTTCGGAACCCACAGACCTCATCACTGTCTTGCAGCCTGTCACCTTCACCCCAGCCCCGCCGCCCTCACCCCTGCCCCGCAGCCCTCACCCCAGCCCCGCCGTCCTCACTCCTGCCCCGCAGCCCTCACCCCTGCCCCGCCGCCCTCACTCCTGCCCCGCAGCCCTCACCCTTGCCCCTTAGCCCCGCCGCCCTCACCCCAGCCCCGCTGCCCTCACCCCTGCCCCGCTGCCTTCACCCCTGCCCCGCAGCCCTCACCCCTGCCCCTTAGCCCTCACCCCTGCCCCTTAGCCCTCACCCCTGCCCCGCAGCCCTCACCCCTGCCCCTTAGCCCTCACCCCAGCCCCGCTGCCCTCACCCCTGCCCCGCTGCCCTCACCCCTGCCCCTTAGCCCTCACCCCTGCCCCGCCGCCCTCACCCCTGCCCCGCAGCCCTCACCCCTGCCCCGCTGCCCTCACCCCTGCCCCGCTGCCTTCACCCCTGCCCCGCAGCCCTCACTCCTGCCCCGCAGCCCTCACCCCTGCCCCGCTGCCTTCACCCCTGCCCCGCAGCCCTCACTCCTGCCCCGCAGCCCTCACCCCTGCCCCGCAGCCCCGCCGCCCTCACCCCAGCCCCGCCGCCCTCACCCCAGCCCCGCTGCCCTCACCCCTGCCCCGCTGCCTTCACCCCTGCCCCGCAGCCCTCACTCCTGCCCCGCCACCCTCACCCCAGGCCCGCCGCCCTCACCCCTGCCCCGCCGCCCTCACCCCAGCCCCGCAGCCCGCCGCCCTCACCCCTGCCCCTCAGCCCGCCGCCCTCACCCCAGCCCCGCAGCCCGCTGACCTCACCCCTGTCTTGCAGCCCGCTGGCCGCGCTGCCCCCCTCGCAGGCGGCGCCGCCGGCAGCGGCGGAGTCGCGCGGGCCCGGACTCTGGGACGCGTTCGCCAGCAGGTGGCAGCAGCAGCAGGCGCTGGCCGCGTCCATGCTTCGGGGCTCCGAGCCCACCCAGGACCCCAGCCCCGAGCCCGGGGATGAGGCCGCCGAGGATGCCGCCGAGGGCCCCGAGCCGCAGGAGAAGGACCCCATGGCCAGCTTCAAGTGGAGTTTCCTCAGCCACAAACTGGCCGAGATGAGGGTGAAGGCTGCGCCCAAGGGCGACTAGCATGCCGGGGCCCAAGGGGCTCCGGACCCTGCCTCCTCCCCATTAAAACCCTCACCCAGCACCCCGTGTAACTGTGTTGTTGCCCAGACAGAGTGGCGGGTGGGCGACCTCAGGCCGGATCAGAGAAAAACTTGGTGCCGGGATGGATGGTTCCGGTTCCGTTTCAGGTACAATTGTACCAGGAAGCCGGGGACAGACTCCACGGCCTCGTCCAGCCTCATTCAGTGCAAGACTTGGCCTGCTGCCCTACTCGGTGCAGGGTTCCTCTACCGTGGAAAAAGCCAGATACTAACCAGAGAACTTAACTACCGGAGGGCCCCACACAAAGTGACAAATTGGGGCTCAGACGAGCTGAGTCTGTGAGTCAGGAAGGCTTCCTAAAGGAGAGCTTGTGATCCTAGAAAGAAAACTGGAAAGAAAGGAGAAAGGCCGAGGGAGGAGGAAGGTGCACAAAGGGGAAACTGAGGGATACAGATGGCCTGTGTGTCCCTGAGGGAAATCGAAGCAGTACCGAGATGTGAACTTTCGGGTAGGTCACTCCCCCCCCCCAAACAAACACCACCCGGTTTGAAGATCCCTTCTTTCAGTGACCGCTGGGCCTTTCATAGTGAGCACGAGGGGCAGCAAAGCTCTGGAGATTCTGAGGATTCTGCGAATCCCAACTTGGTGGAGCGGATCCCTGCCCTGTAACCTTCAAACCTCCAAACTCCATTCCCAGCTCCCAGCTCCAGTATGGACGGATCCCCCCTCCCCCAAGTGGGTGACAGAGATGATTATAATAGCGTTAGTGCAAATCCGTAATGGTGAAAGCAGCTATTGTTTAGTGAGCACTTGGTATATTCTAGGCACTTTGCCATGAGAGTTACAAGGATTCCCAGGTATTATTAGCTGCTGCTGCCTTTTGCTCTTTAATAATTTAGGGGATGCAGGGCTGGGAAGGTGGCTCAGTGGTAGAGCACTTGCCTTGCATGCATGAGGCCCTGGGTTCGATTCCTCAGCACCACATAAGCAAAAAGAAAAAAGCCGGAAGTGGCGCTATGGCTCAAGTGGTAGAGCGCTAGCCTTGAGCTGAAGAGCTGAGGGACAGCGCCCAGGCCCAGCGTTCAGGCCCCACGACCGGACCCCCCCAAAATAATAATAATTTAGGGGGTGCAAGCTTTGGTCCCAAGAGGTTAATTCACTCAGCATCATCACTCAATCAGCCCGGGACCTCACGCTGCCAACCCCGCGCGTTTCACCACCCAAACCTGCTGGCCCTTTTCCTCCTCCTCTGTCCCCTAAATCAAACTCAGGACCCATTTAAATCTCATGTTCGCTTTATTCAGTAGATTGTGCTCATCTCCCCCTCCCCCCCACACCCCCATCACGCCTCAGGCCCGCCCTCCACAGGGGTCATGAGGTCGTCCGTCCCCCTTTGTTGCCTGCTTCATTTTGTTCCACCTTGCCAGGGCTCAGAAAGACCCAGGGGAGGGTTTGCCAAAGGCGCCCGCGCGCCGTCCGAGGCAGGCGGGGGACTCCTCCCTGCCGGTGCCCGGGTCCAGCCCGCGCTCCGGAGCTCACCGGGAGTCCCCAGGAGTCGCCTCCCGAGCAGCGACAGTCACACCTCGGACTCCCGGGGCGGGGCCCGCGCGCGCTGGCAGCCGTACAGCCACTGGATGACGCGCGCGTTGCGCTCCACCACCGACACGGCGGGCCGCCCGTCCCGCGCCGAGCCCGCCGCCTCCGAGCCGCCGCCGCCCGCACAGTCCCGGGCGCCCGCCGCGTCCCCGTCGCTGGACGTCCAGTCGCTGGTGTCCCCGGAGGCGGGCGGCGGCGGCGCGGGCGCGGCGCCCCAGCTCTGCGGGGAGAAGCGCTCGGCGCCCAGCACCTCCACCAGCGCGCGCTCCAGGCCGCAGTAGTTGAAGAAGCGCTCCTTCTCCGAGAGCGGCAGCGAGCACGAGGGGCACAGCGCCCGCTTCCGGGCCGCCTCGGGGGCGTCGGGGGAAGCCGCCCAAGCCCCGGGAGCGGCCGATCGCTCGGCGGGCCCCGGGCTGCTGGGGGCAGCGTCCCGGGAGGCGCCCAGGAAGAGGCGCCGCACCAGCCCCTGGCCCTTGGCGTTCTCTTTGTTCACCGAAGCCTTGCAGTCTCGCTTCTGGCGGTAGAAGATGAGCGAATCGGGCCTTGGCTGCCTCCGGCCGCTGCCCCGGCGGGCCGGCCCGGGGGTCCTGGGGGACACAGGGAGCCCGAGTTCGTTGCAGGGGTGCGGGGTGAGCGGCCCGGGGCCCCCACGGAGGGCTGGCTCTTGGCGTCGGACTATCACCTGATGTGTCTTGACATACTTGGCCTTGTCGGCCTCCAGCCTCTCCACGGCGCTGGGGGTCCGCCCTCTAGACTGAGTGGAGGGAGAAGCCAGGGGCATCTTAGCAGAGCTGGGCAGGACCGTGCCCCATAGGCAGCTGGAGGGACCCGGCCAGAGGAGGAGCCAAGGGCAATACGGGGATTTTCCTGCAAAAAAGAGGAATGGTCAGAGAGATGGCAGCTCAGATCACTGCCCCTCCCTGCAGGCATACCTGGGAACAGGATCAGCTGACCACCTCTTCCCCATCGGCCTTGGTTGAGTGCCTGTCCTAAGAGAAGAAAGAGCTACCCCCCCCCCACACACACACACCTTGTTGTTTAGAGACTGGTTGGGGGCTCTCTGTCACCCAGAAACATGTGCCCCAGCCCACCCCTTTTTTTGTCTGTTGTAAGGCTTGAACTCGGCCTGGACACTGTCCCTCAGCTCTTCAGCTCAAAGCAAGTGCTCTACCACTTGAGCACCATTTCCGGTTTTTCTGGTGATTTATTGGAGATGAGTCACAAGGAAGGGCTGAGAAGGTGGCTTAGTGGTATAGTGCTTGCCTTGCATGCATGAGGCCCTGGGTTCTATTCCTCAGCACCACATAAGCAGAAAAAGCCAAAAGTGGTGCTGTGGCTCAAGTGGTAGAGTGCTAGCCTTGAGCTGAAGAGCTGAGGGACAGCGCCCAGGCCCTACAACTGACAAAAAAAAAAAAAAAAGTCACAAGGACTTCTCCTGCTCGGGCTGGCTTTGAACTGCAATCATCAGATTGCAGCCTCCTGAGTAGCTAGGATTACAGGCGTGAGCCACCGGTGCCTTTGAGTGTACCTCTGTTTGTTCACAGGGCCATGCAAGCAGAAGCAGGACACTTGGGAAGGGAAATGAGACAGGTTCCAGTCCAATTCCCGAAAGTGGCCTTAACCGGAAAAAATACCTCTTCCCAACCCAGTAGCTTTAATCCCAAGACAAGGAGGCTTGCTGGCCACAAGCTGGCTCCAACGGGGCCCACCCTTCCCGCCCCCAAGCACCGAGGTCAGAGACATAACCACAGGTTAGAAGTCTCCAGTAACTGCAGCCAACTGCCCTGCCCAGGCCAGCAAGGCTGTCCAGGAAGGAGAGGGAGGTGGTCCCCAGGTCATGTCAGCCAGCTACTGCCAGCCACTCCGTGCCCCTGCCAAGAGGATGCCAAAAAAATGAACTGTAAACATCACCCTGTCCAGCTCTTACATTTCCATTCCCTAGGCCAGAAATCTGGCTGAGAGGGACAGAGAGAGGAAGGGACTTGCTCAGGTTCTTCTGAGAGTTAAGGGACTGACTGGAGCCTAGGGCTCTGGCCTCAGAACTAGTTCAGATAGAGTCATTTTGTCTCTGTTCCTGTTCTTAAAAAATCAAGTCAGGAGCTGGGAGTGTGGCTTAGTGGTAGAGTGCTTGCCTAGCATGCATGAAGCCCTGGGTTCCATTCCTCAGTACCACATACATAGAAAAAGCCCCAAGTGGTCTGTGACTCAAGTGGTAGAGTGCTAGCCTTGAGCAAAAAAAGCTCAAGGACAGTGCCCAGGCCCTGAGTTCAAGCCCCAGGACTGGCAAATAAATAAATAGATAGATAAATAGATAGATAAAGTGAGCCTCACTAAAAAGTTCCTTCTCCTGATTCTCCCCAGCAACCCACAGGCCCAGAAATCCACCCTCAGGGTAGATTTCTGTCTCCTTCTCATCTGGAGGCCTCTGACCCTTCTCCACTGTCCTTGTCTTGGGGAAAAGGGTAGGAAGGGTTGTAAATCAAGAGCTGCCAGTTTCCTTGGCAGCTAACAGAATAGGCCACCCACGTGGCCCATCATACCCCACCCTGCCCCTATCTCCTAGCCTCCCCTCCCCCATTCTGCTGAGAGGGACACACTACTGCAGGGGATGAGGGGAGGGGACCTTGAATCTGGAGACAACAAAGGAACAGATCCTCAGGTTGAGGGTCCCCCCAGAAGCACCCCCCCCCATCCTGGGGTAGAGGTCCTGACAACCCTACCTCCCAGTTCAACCTGTTTATATTAATTACCCTCCACAGTATACCTCTCCTCTTGTAAGTCTGTCCAGAGATGAGAAGAGCTAGGCATCCAGGACAGCCTGACAGTGTCCCTTCCCTTCTCCCAAGGACTATGTGGGGTCACAGGTCAGATTTCAAAGTCCCAGGAGGGCTCTGAGCTTGTCTGACCTCCTGTGTGCTCTCTTGTCCCCTCCTCCTCTGGGTAGAGAGGCTATAAAAAGTCCTTAAACACCAGCACCAAAATAGTTCCCTGTCCTCCATCTCTTCCCTGCCTTCTGGGCTGGCTTTGATGCCCAGCCACAGAGAGCCCTCCCTAGAGCCTGGTGGTAGTCTTTGTCTCCTCTGGCCTTTGCCTACTCTCTCCCAGTTGTGGACTAAGTAGTCCCAACTCTGCCCCTGGCTTCTGCTCTGGACACCAGCTAGCTTCCAGGCTCAGCGGCTGGGTGCCAGCCTTGCCACTCTGGGTTCCTGGGTGAGTTCTCACCCAGCTCTGGGCTCACGATGAACTCACCTTTGTGTGGGAGGCTGAATTGCAGCGGTCCTTGGGCAGGTCCAGACTGAGGGCAAGAGGGACAGCAAGGACTAGAAGTAGCTTTGGTGGCAGCCAAACCTTGCTCTCCACAGGAAAAGCAGAGCCTCCACCCCCCAGATTAACCCTTCCGGACCCACAGCCTGGCCCTGTTAACTCCTTCCTGATCACATCTCAGTGGAGCGGAACCATGGCTTCACTCCTTTATTTTATGGATGGTCAAATAGGCTCTGCCCAGGTAAATGGTTTTCCATGGAGACACCAGGAACTTGAAAGCAGTGCCAGGACCCCACACAAGACCTCCTGATCCCCAGGCTCCCTCCAGAGGCCTGGGACAGGGATGCTACTGCAGTTCCCTTCCCTCAGCTGGGCAGATGCTCTGACACAGACTGTAAGGGCCCAGTGGGGTCCTAGTGGACTTGTGGTTCTCCCTTGGTGGCAAGTTCAGGCCATACTGATTCTCTCCTTGGATGATGGCCAGCTTGCTCTCTATTTTAGTCCAGGAATCTGTGGTTTACAGGAAGATGCTGATGTGCAGCGTAGCCTGTCCCAGCAGACTAGAAATAAGGGTCACACAGGAGGGCTACCCCTGACCAAGATGCTCCAGTGGCAAATGGCTGGGAAGAGCGTGACAAGAGGAAGCTGCTGGGGCCAAGCTTCTGGTTTTTGTTTCTTGTTTTTTATTTTTACTTTCCTGCTGACTTGGAACTGTGATCCTCATATCTCAACCTCCTGAGCAGCTAGAATAACAGGCATGAGGCATGAAAGCCCAGCTTGATGTTGGTGGTGTTGGGTGTGTGTGTGTGTGTGTGTGTGTGTGTGTTTGACTCAAGGAGATGCCCAAGTCATGGGGGAAGTCCCCATAGGGCAAAGCTCCAGTTCAAAGTGCAGCTACCTGTAGCAGACCATTTAGCATAAGTCCCCTTCCTGGCCACCCCCCTCCCCACCCTTTTCTGGGACTTCTTAATGCTTGCAAAGCAAGTTCACTGATCTGTTCTTTGATCACTGACAACCCCCGCATAGATTCTAGAAATGGGGCTCATCAAGAGAATGAACTTCATTTATAGAAGAGGAAATAATCAAAGGAGAAAAGACATGCTCAGAGCCCATCTCCAAATCCATTCTGTCCACTTCACCCCCTGCCTGTCAGGCAGGGTCAAGAGTTTGAAGCTAGGCGCAGGTGGCTCACACCTGTAATCCTAGCTACTCAGGAAGCTGAGATCTGAGGATCATGGTCCAAAGCCAGCCTGGGCAGGAAAGTCTATGAGACTGCTATCTCCAATAAACCACTAGAAAAACTGGAAGTGGTACTGTGGCTCAAGTGGTAGAGTGCTTACCTTGAGCTTAAGAGCTGAAGAGGGACAGCGCCCAGGTCGAGTTCAAACCCCACGACCGGAAAAAAAAAAAAAAGTTTAAAAACTCAGGGCCTGTCAAGCAGAAAAGGTCAGATAAGTTGATGTTAGGGAATGAACCCTAAGCTATGTATTCAAATGTTTTTTTTTCTTTCATGCGATTGTTTCTGACACATTTATAAGATTATTTCTTTGTTGCTTTGAATGTCCCTCCCCCACAGTATAACCCCTGCTTCCACTGTATTTGATGTCGTTATAATTTGTGGAGGGGAAGGGAAAAAACAAATCCAGGTGGACCCATTGCAACAAGTTGTTATGTCCAAAACAAACTTTACAACTTTGGGGGGAGGAGGATTGAGTGAGGGGGTGGGGGGAGGATCCTGGGAAGGGATGGAAAGGGGAAACAAAGGAGGAGGCTACAATGTGTGATAAGAAATGTACTCATCCTGCCCATGTAACTGTAACTCCTCTGTACAGTATGTTCACAAATAAAATAAAATTAAATTAAAAAAAAAAAAAAAGAAATGTACTCATTATCTTGCCCATGTAATTGTAACCCTTCTGTACAGTATTTTCACAATTAAAAAATAATAATAAAATAAAATTTAAAAAAACTCAGGGTCTGCCAGAAGATGGTTGACACTATACCTAAAGACAGGACTAAGTGGCCAATGTCTCTAATCCTAGCTACTCAGGTGGCTGAGATCTGAGGATTATGGTTCAAAGCCAGCCGGGGCAGGAAAATCTTGCCAATGAATCATCCAAAAAAGCCAGTAGTGGTGAAAGGGGGAAAAACAAAAAAGAGCCAATGGAGAGAGGACAAGGCCCTGAGTTCTAGCTCTAGTACACACACACACACACACACACACACACACACACACACACACTTTCTTTTTTTTTTTTGTCGGTCGTGGGGCTTGAACTCTGGGCCTGGGCGCTGTCCCTCAGCTCTTCAGCTCAAGGTGAGCGCACTACCACTTGAGCTACAGCGTCACTTCCGGTTTTCTGGTGGTTTATTGGCGATAGGAGTCTCAGGGTCTTTCCTACCTGGGCTGGCTTTGAACCTCGATCCTCAGATCTCATCGCCCTGAGTAGCTACCGGTGCCTGGCTACACACACACTTTTTTTTTTTTTTTTTTTGGTCCTTGGGAGTTCCATTTTGTGTTGTTACAACACTTTGCAAAGTGCTTTTAAGTATGTTGTCACAATCCCTAGAGGACTGTCTTTGGGAAGTGGATTTTATTAATTTTTTGCATTTGCAGCTGAAGAGTCTGGGAGGGGAAACAATTTAGCCTACACTCAGGCAATGAGGATTAATAGTGCACTTTTATTGGAGATTGATAGACGTCAGCGGCTGTTTAATTACTTCATTCAACTATTCAAAGTAATCCAAGGAAATGGTATCTTCCTTCTCGAAAATTTATAGATGTAGGTGGGATGCAGGCCAGTTGCAGTTGTCTGGGCCAGAAGGGGTTAAGCAGGAGGTGGCTGA